ACAAGTCCTTTTGTTTAATTCACGATTGAAGTTATTCCCGGGAAAATTGAAGTCGAGATGGTCGGGGCCTTTTGTGATTAAGAAGGTGTTACCACCGGGAACAGTTGAATTAGTTGCACGAGACGGCGAGACCTTTGTAGTTAACGGACAACGGATCAAGCACTACTTTCATTCGTACCAACATGAGAAGTCGTCCTACATCACTTTGAAGGAGCCGTGATTCTTACAGGCGTCTGGCTGAAGACGTTAAACTTAGCGCTAGTTGGGAGGCAACCCAACGGTTTTATTGCTTTCTTTTTATTTATTGTAGGATAGTTTTGTTTGTTTTTCTTTTGAAAAAAAAAATCCCAGGCGTTTGACACGGGTCGTGACACGGCCATTTTGGCCGTGTCGTCGACCGTGTCACCCTAACAGAATGCTCAAGTTTCAGTACATGCGACACGGGCGTTGACACGGCTATTTTGGTCGTGTCACGGCCCGTGTCAAGTAAAAAAAAAAGAAAGGACCCCAGGTACATGACACGGGTGGCGACACGGGTGCTGAGACCGTGTCACGGCCCGTGTCGTGGCAACAGAAGCTTTTAAAACCAACATCTTCATTCACTTTTCCTTATAAAATTTCGGCCCCTCTTTCTTAAAAACCATAGAACTGAAATCCTCTCTAATATTTTGCAAAATTAAGACATCCTCACCCTTGAATTTGCCTCATAATCGTTCACTTGCATCAACAAGTCCATAATTGTGCCATTGTTTCTCTTTTTTTTTGAACTCAAGGTAAGAGTTCGAACTCAATTTGGGAGTAGGCTCGACATTTGCATTCTCTTCACGAATTTGGTATGTGTTTTGTGCTTGTTTTCTATCTTGATGTGGAGTATTGTATTGCTTGATGTTATGGTGTTCTTATGGGTTGATATTGTTGAGTTTGTTGAAGAAGTTTGTTTGAGCAAATTATCGAACACGTGGTGGGCACCGTTGAATTCGAATTTATCATTGATATGTGCTTGAATTGTGGTTTGATTATGCTCTTGGTCGTTCGGCATGATACTTTGATTGATATTTGAGTTGTTTACATGAAGCTTGAAGGAACTTGTTGCTATGGAGCACTCTTTTTCATAGGGATAATGTTGATGTTATATTGAGATGAATTGTTTTGTGACTAATTTGGTATTATCTATTTGTCGTAGGATATAATGAATCGTGGAGGTAGAAGCTCGGGAGGTAGAGGACGAGCAAGGGGTTCGGACGCCAATGTTATACCGGGGGCGGCTATACAACCGTCAACCTTTAGCGTTCGATTGAAGACGGATGAGGAAAAGGCGCGGTGGAAAATGCTTTCCAATTTGCGTTTGGTGGCAACGAGGTACGTGGACGAAGAGGCATTAGTAACCCTTGGCCTCTATGATGATGTTGTCAAGCTAATTCGAAGAGCTGGATGGGAATATTTGATGACGCAAAAATGGCCGACGTATGTCGGTCTTACATTGGAGTTCCTTGCTACTTTGGAAGTCGAGAAGACGAGCTACGATCATATGGTGAAGACAATGAAATTTCGTCTTCAAAACAAGAACTACACTCTCGATACAAAAACATTGGAGAAAGAGATATATCAAGCCTCGGACGACCCTAGCATACCGTCGTCCTTTAACTCCCATGATGTGTGGAGTTTGATAGCCGGGACTCCATCACACCCCGCCCCGAGCTACATCCCAAAGTCGGCCAAAGCAACCTCCATACGCAATCTGGTGTTGAGGGTTTTGCAGAAAGCAGTGGGAAGCACCATATTCGCTTGAGGAGAGATGGGTGGTTGTTCTCTCCGAGAGCTTACTGCCATTTGGTGCATGTTGAAGGGTAAGCCCGGACCTACCGGGAAGTGGGTTGCGATGCATTTGTGGGAGGCGGCCATAGCCGAGTCGGGGGTCGTGTGCGTGGGTGGCTTGATTACATCCATTGCTATGTTTTGTGGGGTGGATGTGACGATGATGGTCCCCGTGGGTGCCACGCCGTTGATTAATATGGAGGCACTCAAGGCGATGAACTTTGTTCGTCAGGATGGCAATCGATATTTGTTCATACAGAGGGGTCACGATCATTTCCCGTTGCCGAATGCTCAGTTTACCACGGTTGATAGTGACGATGACGTGGTAAACATTAAGATGTGGAGTGATGCACACTCGACGGTGATAAATGAGGTGCAAGCGGCATTTGGCCAGTCGGTTGGGGGCATGCGTAGGAATGTCCGACCTCGCGTAGAGTTGCACCCGAGCGTGGAGGAGGAGAATGAGTACGAGCGAGGCGGAGACATTCCGATGGATATCCCGGAGAGCTCCAATCAAGGAGCGGAGTGGCCCGTTTTCCCCCCTCCCTTGAGCTTAGACGATCGGATGACGAGTTTGGAGGCCGAGATGAGAGGTGTGCGAGCAGATCAGAGAGAGATGATGGCGATGATTCGCCAGA